ACCCTATCGGATGAGTCCAGAAAAGAAGGCCATCGTACGGAAGGAGGTCGACTTCTTGCTCCAGCACGGCCTCATCCGGCCGAGCCAGGGCTCTTGGTGCTCGCCCTGCCTTTTGGTCCCCAAACCAGACGGCTCATGGCGATTATGCACCGACTATCGGCAGCTCAACAAGGTGACCATTGTGGATGCCTATCCGCTGCCCCTCCTCGAGGACTGCATTGACGAGTTGGGAAATGCCAAGTACGTTTCGAAATTCGACCTCTCGAGGGGGTATTATCAAATCCCACTCACTGAACGTGCTAAACAGCTCACTGCGTTCGTAACACCCGAGGGTGTTTTTGAGTATCAAGTGTTACCGTTCGGCTTGCGTAATGCTCCGGCCACGTTCCAGAGACTCATGAACTCTCTACTCGCTAAGGTGCCAAATTGTCGGGCGTATTTAGATGATATCGTGCTGTTTGACAGTAATTGGGCTGACCACATAGCTAGGTTACGCCAGTTGTTTGCCATCTTGAAAAGGGCAAATCTTACCTTAAATGCTAAAAAGTGTCATTTTGGCCAAGGCACAGTGACGTACCTCGGTTATGAAGTGGGCCAAGGAAAAGTGTTACCTCGGCAAGATAAAATCAATGCCATTCTGGAGTATCCAGTACTAAAGTCTAAAAAGGACGTTCAAAGATTTATCGGTATGTGTGCGTACTATCGACGTTTTTGTCAGAACTTTTCCAGTGTTGCCACTCCTCTCACAGACTTGTTGCGGAAAGCCGTTAAATTTAAGTGGTCATCAGACTGTGCAGAGGCATTTAAAAATTTGAAATTGATCTTAGCTTCCGCCCCAGTGCTTGCTAGTCCAAGGTTCGACCGACCGTTTAAAATTCATGTTGACGCGTCTGACTCGGGTGCTGGTGCAGTGTTGTTGCAAACTGGGGATGATCAGGTGGAACACCCAGTATATTATTACTCTGTGAAATTCGACAAGGCGCAACGCAATTATTCAGTGGTAGAAAAAGAGGCGTTGGCGCTAGTGTTAACATGTAAAAAGTTCGAAGTTTACCTCACAGGTAATATAGTGGAAGTGTACACGGACCATAACCCACTAGTCTTCCTGACTCAGATGAAGGGTAAGAATAAACGCATCCTCAGGTGGGCGTTGTACCTACAGGACTTCAATCTTTCCATTACCCACCTACCGGGCAGACTCAACGTGATAGCCGACGCTCTGTCCCGGTTGCCTGAATAACATTCATCTGAGCCACAGAAAGCCATTTACCAACTGTCATGCTTTAGTTATTTTTTTTAGGTTCTCCTGTGACATTAAATATTCCGTGTCCAATTTATTTACTTCCCTGTTCTTTTATTTTTTTTGTGTATGTTTTTTTTTTTTTTCTTTCAGAGAACTCCTTTGTATTTTTTTTTTTGCAGAGAAATTGCTTTTGATTTATTTTTTGTTTTTGTCATATGTTTTTCTTTTTGTTCTCTGTATACTATTAAAAAAAATATGACTACTATTCTAGTAGTCACATTTTTTTTTCTCTGAAGGGGGGAGGAGTGTTACGACCCTGGGTTCTCCAGTGGAAACCAGAGGTCAAAATTGAGCTATTAAACTTCCTAAGTAGTACAGTTGGCGCATTTCGAATGGAAATTGTTTGTATCTTCCCTGCCAGACGTAAGACTATTATTGTTTCTCAAAGAGCATTTAAAGACTGAGCTGGGGGTTGATTATTAAATAATAACATAGGCACCAACTTTGCGTACTAATACTTTCTAATCATTCATAAAGTAACAATACGTTGCATAGGGGAAGATCTTTAATGTGCTTAGCTGCACGATCAATTAGGCCCCTTCCGGCACCACGACATGAGGGAGGCCAGGTGGTCGCGAGGAGCGCGCTCTTCTCTTGGCTGGTGGCGTGAGGTTAAGACCTACTCTGTGGCTGTATCCCTACTCTCCTTCCTTCTCCTCTTACTTATTTCCCTTACCTGAAGTTCCTGTATCCTTAAGCTAAGTACAGGGCATTAGTGAGTGTGCCTACTCTGGTAGTAACGATTGGTGAGACCTGGGGATAGTATTTTGCCAGTGTTTGGGTACCCCTAAGTGTTGTGTTTTGTATTAGGGTCCCACGTGGTTTCACTACCCTAAGCTGCATCCAGCTTCAGTGCTTATCCAGTAGTACTTTACCCTAGCTTGTTATTAGTGTAAACCTTGTATCCTGCCTACGTGGACCAAGGCTTTTAACGTAAGATAGTGTGGTAAAGTTATTATTATTATTGTTATTGGTGTGAGTGTATATGGGGGGTTGTTAACGGGTTAATAAATAAGTACATGAATTACAGAGTATCTCTTCTTCCAAGGTGGGAGCGCAGTGATCAACCCTTAGACGAACCTATTTGGTCTTGTAGCAAGTTATTACTACTGTGGATAGTTTATTTTGGGGGCCGGGCCTTTTAGCTCTCCCATATTTGATACTCCTGTCTTCTAACTACCTATACCCCTTAATAGTACCAGTACCCCATAGAAGCCCCACTCATATCAGTTGTAACACACACACTTTGTTATTTTGAGTTATATGTTTAATAATGGCTGTAGGGATTGTCTTGGAAGTCCTTATTTGTGTCTTTACACGAGGTTCTAATGTTTGATATCTTCCCACATGTTGCCGATATTATGTTTATAGGCCTATGTACCTCTGGTGGCGGCGGAGTACTGGAATTATATTCCCTACGTGAGGCCGACACTAGAATATGCAGCACAGACCTGGAGGCCTCACTTCGTGAGACAAAACTAAATGATGAAATCTATTTTTTTTAACAATAATAATGCCTGAATTATGTTGACTATGCAACAGCAAGTGTCAGGGGATAACTAAATTCCATAACAATAGAGAAGAGAAATAGAGTGGCAAAGATCATTATTTACAAAATACCGAGTAGACTAGGAAAGAATAACTTCTTTAAAATGAGATAAAATCGATAAAGATTTATCTAAAAGTTGGACATACACATGAATATAAGAAATGAGAGGAAATGTGCGAACCCTGTACGGGTGATCAACACGGTAATTATACTTTAAGAAGTGGTGGACGCCGCCTGTAGACACCTTTAATGTCAGATACAATGAGTCCCGCAGGGGTCAGTCCTTGGACCTATACTGTTTCTGATATATGTAAATGATCTCCCAGAGGGTATAGATTCGTTTCTCTCAATGTTTGCCGATGATGCAAAAATTATGAGGAGGATTGAAACAGGATGATAGTAGGAAGCTACAAGATGACCTAGACAGACTTGAGTGAATGGTCCAACAAATGGCTGTTGAAGTTCAACCCGAGTAAATGCAAATTAATGAAACTAGGCGGCGGAAACAGGAGGTCAGACACAGGATACAGAATAGGAGATGAAGTACTTAATGAAACGGACAGAGAAAGATCTAGGAGTTGATATCACACAAAACGTGTCTCCTGAAACCCACATTAAAAGAATAACGTCTGCGGCATATGCGAGGCTGGCTGACATCAGAACAGCCTTCAGAAACCTGTGTAAGGAATCATTCAGAATCTTGTACACCACATATGTAAGACCAATCCTGGAGTATGCGGCCCCAGCTTGGAGCCTGTACCTTGTCAAGCACAAGACGAAGCTGGAAAAAGTTCAAATGTATGCCACTAGACTAGTCCCAGAACTAAGAGGCATGCGTTACGAGGAAAGGCTGCGAGAAATGCACTTTACGACACTGGAAGACAGAAGAGTAAGGGGAGACATGATCACAAACTACAAAATCCTCAGGGGAATCGACCGGGTAGACAAGGATAAACTATTCAACACTGGTGGTACGCGAACAAGGGGATACAGGTGGAAACTGAGTACCCACATGAGCCACAGGGACGTTAGAAAGAATTTTTTCAGTGTCTGTAGTTAATTAACAGGTAGAATGCATTAGGCAGTGATGTGGTGGAGGCTGACTCCATACACAGTTTCAAATGTAGATACGAGAGCTCAGTAGGCTCAAGAATCTGTACACCAGTTGTTTGACAGTTGAGAGGTGGGACCAAAGAGCCATAGCTCAACCCCCGCAAGCACAAATAGGCGAGTACACACACACATGTAGGATTGTGTAGACATGCACACACACACACACATGTAGGATTGTGTAGACACACACACACATATGCATGTAGGATTGTGTATATATGCACACACACACACACACATGTAGGATTGTGTACACATGCACACACACACACACACACACATGTAGGATTGTGTACACATGCACACACACACACATGTAGGATTGTGTACACATGCACACACACACACATGTAGGATTGTGTACACATGCACACACACACACATGTAGGATTGTGTACACATGCACATACACACACATGTAGGATTGTGTACACATGCGCACACACACACACACACACATGTAGGATTGTGTACACATGCACACACACACATGTAGGATTGTGTAGACATGCACACACACACACACATGTAGGATTGTGTAGACATGCACACACACACACACATGTAGGATTGTGTAGACATGCACACACACACACATGTAGGATTGTGTAGACATGCACACACACACATGTAGGATTGTGTAGACATGCACACACACACACACACACACATGTAGGATTGTGTACACATGCACACACACACATGTAGGATTGTGTACACATGCACACACACATGTAGGATTGTGTACACATGCACACACACACATGTAGGATTGTGTACACATGCACACACACACACATGTAGGATTGTGTACACATGCACACACACACACATGTAGGATTGTGTAGACATGCACACACACACATGTAGGATTGTGTAGACATGCACACACACACATGTAGGATTGTGTAGACATGCACACACACACACGTAGGATTGTGTACACATGCACACACACACACAAACACACACATGTAGTGTAGACAGTCATGTCGACAGTCAGACACGGGGACAGAGAGGGACAGGTAGACTCACCAGACGAAGGTCCTGGAGGAGGCGTGTGTCCGGACAGGTCGTGACTGCCTGTCACTGGCCCTGCAGGTGACGGCACCTCCACGCCCAGGTACGCGGCTGGCTCCTTCAGGAACAAGTAGCGCAGCAGTGTAGTCGACGCAAAGTTTCAAATTCACAAGTTTTGAACTACAGTCCAAGTGTTGGCTATCTCTTTAACTCCAAGACTTCAATGGTACACGTCCGAAATAAGTTTTCAAGCACAAATGTTCGAGCAGTTGCAAAACTGCAGGCGGCCTTCAACGAGCGGGTTCAGCGAGCACACACACAGGAGCTACAAGAGTTGATGTGTACGGGGCTGTGGAGGGTAGGATCCTGGCGTGTGTGTGTGTAAGGAGCCACGGAGACGCGTGCACACCCGCCCCAAGAGTCGCCAACACTGCCCCAAGACAGAAATTTCAAGTGTGGCGGCGAGGAGCCCAGGGCGGTTGGCCAGGCCGGGTTGCCACCGCTCGCCCTCCTCTATATTCTCTCTCTCTCCTGACCAACACGTAACGTTCCTGTGAACTATTCTGCCTGGTGCAAAGGCTGTAAAGAGTAGCTTAGATTCAAGCTTAGCCTGGACGAGCCTAAAGCATGGTGAATGAGTGTAAATAATTACGGTGGTGGGGGTGAGGCGGCACCACTGTGTACCCGTCTAGCGTACTGGGAATTACTCCACAACAAACCGATCTTAGACAACCCATAAGTCTCGGTGATCTATGCCGCCCCTAAACCACGCCCTATACTCAATTATACCATATTCATTAATATTAAAAAACCCTAACATGGCAACTCTCTAACCAAGCGTCTTCATAGGCCAGGATTTTAATTTTATTTTTAATAGGCCTATATATGTGCCCCGCCTCGTAAACCCTCACTGTCTCTTTCCTTTTTATAATATAAACTTCGCGCGCTGGTCATAAACACAAACAATACCATGTGCTGACAAACAGTTCAACATGGCAGGCAGGAAACATATTATCAACACAGTAGATATGATTCAAACCGACCCCAGCCAGTACGTCACGGGGTAGCAACGCTAACTTCTTTCTAAGTTATAAACATATATATCATACTGTTATCAGTTGTTACTGGCAGCCCATATATCTATTACAGCAACCATACGCTTGTTTGCGTCGCTCGCAGGAATATACTCATCTATGTATTCAAACTCAAAACTTAGGAATACACAGTTTAGTTTACTTCAGTTATTATGTACCCCATACCCATCCTGGGGGGGGGTGGGGGGTGGTAGTGAATACAAACACATAAACAATGCAAATTTACATGCACACATGCACGCAAATATGTTCATAGTCACGCATATGAACATATGTGGTCTAAGGACTGAACGTTCAATAATATAATGACTCGTCACTCACCCACGTTCCACATATGACGGCTGACAGGTGAATAGACGCCACTGTGTACCCTCATACGCACAAACACACAAATCATATGTACTCATAAATGTACACATACCAAATAACCGCACGCACATCAATACCTGACTGACAACACTGACACATAATTAACTCATCGAACAGCCACCACAGGCAGGTCTGTAGTCGTATGTCATAACTTGTTCATACACACCTGGCCTCACACTAAGATGTGTGTTTCGTTGAGTCTGTCAACATTTTCAAAGGCAAACGTAAAGAGGATATAAGTTAGGTGGAACGACCCAATATATAAGCAAGAAGGACGTGGGGTAAGGTTTACTTCACTATCTTCTGGAATGTGAAGCAACCAATGACCTTAGAAGAGCTTTAAGAGTTCCTGAATCATGCAGTGGCCACCCTGAAGTCATCAACACAGCCACCCTCCTGGTCAACAAAGGTGTCCAGCAGCTGGACACCCTCATAAAGACTGTGAAGCAGTATCCTCCCCCGCGATAACAGCTTGATGGTTAAATGCAACCTCAGAAAAAAAATTGTACCACTTACGGGCTATTCATGCCCGTGCCACGTCTTGGGTGGCTTAATCTTCATCAATCAATCAATCAATCGGGGTAAGGTGTCAAATGGACCAAGTTTTTAGGTTTTAAGTAGAATGTGACCGATTGCGAGCCGAACGTTAAACGTTGGTTGAGATTGCTTGATATGTAGAGCTTCGGTGATGTCTGATCTCCTACTGTCGTTGTATCTGTCGCTTATGTCAGTGTTGTTCGTCAGGATATATTTAGTGATGGTCTGTTTGTGTGTGGAAATTGTGTGTTCTTTTTAATGGAGTCTTTAATGCCGGTGCTTCAGCTAACTTGTGATCATTTGAACACAGCGCATCTCTTAGCGTCAAGCATTATACAACTGCAAAATGAACTTTTAGAGAGTTCATTTTAAACCTTCTCAGGCGAAGAATATAAGAAATATACAGATTTGTGCTAGAGCCACTAAACTAACCTTCTCTGTCATATTCAATAACACGCGTCTTCATGAAAAACTGCTGTTAAAATATGTTATATATACTTATCACTAAGTACTCTATAACCCAAAACAGGGTTCGAACCTACATTACCAGCGCTCGCCTCTCTGGCGTATACAGCACATTAACCACTTTACCAGCGATTGCCTAAGTGGTTATGTTACTTTGTATGCCTTGAGATGAACCCGGGGAATTCAGGTTCGAGCCCTGGTCGGGTCATAGTTCATAGTAGCTTATAGATTTGGGGACATTGCAAACTTTTTTCCACACCACTAATGGCTCTCACCTCCAACGGCACTCATCTCCAACGGCACTCATCTCCAATGGTACTCACCTATAACCTCAATAATCTTAAAAATTATTAGAAAGTACAATCCGTAATTGGAGTAATAATCAGTAATGTATATAATCAAGTAAAGTAAAGTAAATAATGTAATAAGTAATGTAAATAATAAAATAATAAATAAATAAGCAGTAAAGTAAAAATGTAATAATCTAACCCTGTCCGTGGAGGACAGAATAATATATATATTGTGACGATAATCTCCTTCAAGAGATTGAGCCTGCTCTTCCCTCCACAATTACGTCGTTGTGGTTATATAAAACTACTATGGAAGAAATGTCCAACAACGACAACAACACCAGCAAGGCTTGCCAGAGCGCAAAACGTTGCAGCCAGAGACACCTGTTCAGACTCAAACCGCCAAACTACTCGTTGATCGCTACCGGCCCCGCTGATTGGTCGCCGGTCTGGCTGCACCTGCACTCGCCCCCCCATACTACTTGATGTCTGGGGTCGCCACGACCTCAGACCTCAGAATGTTCAGTGCTTTCGTAGTTATCGCTCCTCCCGGCTAGACGTTAGCGTGTACTGAGAGAGGTGATAGCTTAAAGCCAATATTCCAGCACCTCCCATTTACTTTTGTGTTGCACTTCTTGTTATTTTATCTTAACGTAACTTTTCATTGTGTCATTTAAGTATTCTTATTATTTTGATTGATTGATTTTATTATAAGAATTTGTTTGTGCATTTTATTCATGTTTTGATTTATTTAACGTAATTAAAATTTCATTGTTAAAGTTTACTTGTGTTTTGTGTGTCTTCTCCTTACCTTACCACAGACGAAGTTCCAGTTTTTTCTTTTTTTTATAACTATGTGACGAGGCCATACCCCTAGCCTTAACAGCCGAACACCAACGCGTTACCGTCACAATATATATATATATATATATATATATATATATATATATTTCTGGTTAGCATTGTAAATGTGTGGCCACGTCTGTGGTAGAAAATAATAATAAAAACATTCGTAATTAATATTACCAGCGCAAGATTTTGCAAGATGCATTCAAGCAGCTTTAACAAATATCTTTATTACAAATCTTTTACAATTGATACCTGGTTGATGGGGTTCTGGGAGTTCTTCTACTCCCCAAGCCTGGCCCGAGGCCAGGCTTGACTTGTGAGAGTGGTCCACCAGGCTGTTGCTTGGAGCGGCCCGCAGGCCCACATACCCACCACAGCCCGGTTGGTCCGGCACTCCTTGGAGAATATGATCTAGTTTCCTCTTGAAGATGTCCACGGTTGTTCCGGCAATATTTCTTATGCTCGCTGGGAGGACGTTGAACAACCGCGGACCTCTGATGTTTATACAGTGTTCTCTGATTGTGCCTATGGCACCCCTGCTCTTCACTGGCTCTATTCTGCATTTTCTTCCATATCGTTCACTTCAGTTCCAATTAATGATCGGAAGAAAAATTAGGCGAGAATTTTGAGAGAAACGAGGAAAGTGAACATTGGCCGGTTGACTGTTTCTACCAATAATGATGACCAAACCCACACGTGAGATGAAGAAACGGAGACGTTTCAGTCCATCAGACGTGATAATGGCCCGGGACGGTCCGAAACGTCGGTTTATCATCTTCTGATGTGTTGTTTGGGCATCATATCTTCAGCCCCGTTATTGTGACGCTGTCACGACCCTTGAGACTAAATAATGTTCTTCTCCCCACAGTGTAAAGAACAAATAAAAATCTGCCATGCCAATAGGTGTCTAGGGGTATAATTAATCACTGTATAAAAACGGGAGAACAATATATTTTGCTAAGGGTGACAACTTAACCATTAAATAAATAGTATCCAGAAATATTTATCAGCATGTAATACTATAGAATGCAAGTAATTATTTGAGACCTGAGCACTATCACCAGAATATGGAGTAAGCCATAAATACACTAAAATCGTCTATCCAGATAAATTAATATTTATATGGGCTTAAAATAACAAAAACCAAGAACTTAGCTTAAACACAACTGCACTCGACCGCAGCCGCCACTCTACTGCCCAGGACGTGGTCCGCAGGCTCATCGTCGACTAATCGTCTACCCAAACACCAATTAACGTTCGCATGAACATTGTGAACATTCTATTTACAAAGGTCAGCCCTAAACTCCAACATTATCAACTAAGAGTTGTAATTACCGGTCTCACATTCCTTGAAATATTACGGCTACCAAATATGGGAATAAATAAATATAAAACTATAGGCAATTGATTTGGCAACAATCGCCCTGACCATTCCCAAATATTGTCAACCGCCCACACGGCTAATTTCACGTGACATCCACCACCAAAACAACCTTACACACACTACCCAGCTATCTATGTTATATATATATAATGTATATATATATCTATATACACAAATCTTATACAACTGACAGCAATATTTACGTAGAGAAAACAATAACATAATACGAGGTTCGGGAGAATTGGCAGAATCGTCATAAGATTCGTGACAGACGCGTCACCTTTGAACAAAATATTTATATTGAACAATTATGGCTTCAATTTTTTTGTCTGCAATTTAATGTGAATCACACAATATATGGTAATTTGTATATGATAATTATCACTTAGTGGTCTGGTCGAGGACCGGGCCGCGGATATGCTAAGCCCCGAAACCATCTCAAGGTAGTGTTATTACTAACT